CTGGGGTGGGAGGGACACCCTGGGGCACAGAGTGGCTGGGGGGAGGGAGGGGTGCCCAGGGCACAGGAGGGAGCCAGGCTCAGGTTCCCCAGAGGAGGTGAGGAGGAGTGGGGGGGCCTGTCATGGTTGGAGCGAGAGGGAGACCCTGAACTCCAGCTCTGGGATGGGGGGCAGGGGGATCCCACCCCCGCAAGGAGCCCGCGGGGGTGTGTGTGTGTGTGTGTGTCTCACCGTCCCCTCGGCCAAGGCTGAGATGACGTTGCCCAGGGCCGACAGCGACTTGTTGATGTTCTTGGCCTCGTCCAGCACGGCCCCTTCGGCCCCCGTCTTGCTGACCTGCCGGCAGAGGGGGTGTCGGTTATGGGGGGGCTGGGGGACTCCTGTCCCGATGCAGGGCGTTGTCCTCCCAGAGGGGTCTCGGCTGCAGGGGTGAGCCAGGAGCCTTCTCCCCCGGGACCCAGGCATCCGGGCAGAGATCCCGAAGCAGGGTGGGGTGATGCCTCTGGAGGGCCCATTGGGAGGGGTCCCAGCCCTGCCCACCCCCGCACACTCTGCATCCCTTGCCCCCCGGCCCTGGCACCTTCTCGCTGCCAGCCAGGTCCACCAGGTAGAGTTTCCCGCTCAGCTTCTGCTCCGTCTCCATGTTCTCCTGCTTGATGTTGATGAGGAAGATACTGTGGCTGCGGGAGCTGTGCTCGTTCATGTCTGGGGGGAGACGCAGGGGTGGGAGGCCTGCTGGCACCGGCCCCCCCAGGCCCAGAGCTCCCACCCGAGCACAGAGCCTGCCCTGATCCCCGGGCAGTGAGTCAGCCGGGCCCCAGCCCCCAACCACTCACCCAGCCCCGGGGGCCAGGGCTGATGGTGACCCCGGGACTGGACACCTCCCAGGCCAGGGCCCGGCCCCAGGGCACCTGCCCCCCCCCCCAGGCTGGTGCCCCAGCTGCTCACTGGTGACAGCCACGTGGCGGTTGGATTTGCCCTCGTCGATCACGTCCAGGATCTCCTCCGGGCTGGAAACAAAGCGCTCGGTGCAGCCCTGCGGGGGAAGGGGGGGGTCAGCCTCGGGTGGGGGGTCCTTACCCCCCCCCCCACTCCCATCATGACCTCAGATGGGGGGGTCCTTACCCCCCCACCCCCACAGCCTCCCTCAAGCCGGCCCTCCCCGA